GGAGAAAAGATAAGGACAGAAAGAATATTGAACTTCGGGGCTGGAGAGCAGATTATCTTCTCATTCTCCATTTTGCTTTTCAAAAGACATTATTTTACTTCACAGGTGTCTAAGCCAAGCTCAGATGGCTCTTAGGATTTTCTTGGCCCAAATGTCACATGTTTGCTAAGAAAATCTAATAGAAAACTGAGCATGGCTCACAGTTGGCCCAAGGCAGTGACTTCTAACTTAATTCCCTAAAATATTTCATTATACCAATGTCAGCTAGATTTGAGTTCATTCTTAAGACACTTAAGCTTCCTATCTCATCTTGTTTCATAAAAGTATCCTTAAAAGGAAGAGGTCAATTGCTCATTGTGTTCATCTCTGAAGTGGGGCGGGGTGGGGGAGGGCAAGATGCTTATTTCCTCTGTTTTAAAAGTTGGCACAGCATTTAAGAGCACTTGCTGCTCTTTGAGAGAACCAGAGTTCAGCTCCCAGCACCCATGGTGGGCAACTCACAAGCTCCAGTAACTCCAGCTCAAGGAGGTTGGATGCCCTCTTCTGGTCTCCACAAGCACCTGCACTCACATGAACACCCACACACTGACACACAGACACACACACAGAGAGAGAGACACACACAAATAAAATAAAATTAATCTTTTTGTGAAGAACCATTGTGCTTTTTTATCTGTCTACTCTCTGGTTGTTGAGTCCACAGAGAAAAGAATCTTACTGCAGACTTGGTGCCTTTTCTATGTGATGAAAACAAGAGGCTGAGTGAAGGCAAGGGCAGAGGATGTGTGGTCTGCAGATAACCTGGAAATACAGCATCTTCAGTTATCTCACATTTACTCAGCAACATTATAGTACCAAGGATATACTGCTAGGCTCTGTGGGTAATGTAAATGAACACAAGTGGTGCCTGTCCCCAGAGCTTATAGTCCACAGGACAGACAGACTTGAAAAACAGACAGCAGGTGAAACCTGCTGGGAAATGTTCTGTGGGTCACAGCAGAGAGACAGCCTTCTACCACAGTGGGAATGAGGATACTTACTGACCATGATGCCACGGCTGCTGGCTGGATTCATGACCTTGAGGAAGCGACAGAGCTACTCTGAGCCTCAATATCCTCAACCAACAAGTAGGACAGTGATATACTTTCTATTTTTCTTTGAAATTTTATTTTATTACTATTGCACATGTGTGCATGTGTATACTTGAGTGCATTGTGTATGGTAACGCACAGGTATGCAGGTCTGAGAACAACTTTGGGAATGAGTTCTCTCCTTCTAGTGTTATTTCCAGAAATCAAATTCAAGTCATCAGGTGTGCACGGGAAGTCTTTTACTTTCTGAGCCATCTCACTAGCCCAAGTTCTTGTTTTTTAAAATGTATTTTGAAAATTAGGATGAAATCACAACATACCACTTAAATGCAAGAATTCTGAAGATCTGCTGTCTAGCATGCGGGCTATAGTTAACATGCTATCCCACATGAGAGCTGCAGGGTTGAAAGGTGCAGAGCAGATTTTAAATGTTCTCATTCTCCCCCACCCCTAAAAAAGTGAGATGATGGATGTTCATTACCTTGATTAATCATTCCACATAAATCAACATATCCTGCTGTACACCATAAATATATACAATTAGAATAATCAAAACAAATCACATGGACCTGTCTGAGACAGCTAGCACTGAGCATGACTCTCACTGGTCACAATGAATGGTATAGCCAATCAGATGACCTTGCAAAGGGAGGGTGATCTCTGTTTTAGTGGAGGTAGTCCAGGAAGAGAGCACTGGGGCAGAATTTAAAGACTAATGATTGGGAGAAGGGTTGAGCCACCCCCTAGAAGTGAGTTATCATTATGAAACTGAGAGTGGCCAGTGATCTATTCAGTGAACAGATTTGTCCTGGAAGAAGGGACAGATGTGTCTTGAGTGTGAGTAGGAATATGGGGACATCAGGACTCTCTGGGTCCTGGAAGTCACCTTAACTAACCTTCCATTTTACAAACAGAACTGCTATAGTTTGGATCTGAAATATCCTCCCAAAGGCCTATGTGACAGAGGCTCGAGAGGCAACAGAACCTGTAAGGGGTAGATTATAGTGCAAGGGAGTTAGTTACTGGAGAGACTTAAGATCCTAGCCCCAACCCTTCTCTCTTTTTTTCCTGAGAGCTGCCATGGGAATATACAGCAAGTGACAATTAGTGTTCAGCAGGTCAACCCATCAAACACATAATTCGGTGGTGGAGAGTGCCACTTGGCAAGACCATGTGGTCACTGGCTGTGGAAACCAGTTGCTCCTGTCTGTAATTTCTTTCATGAGTCACTTCATTTCTTCCCTAAGAACTTCATTTCTTCCCCAATAACAGCGTTGGGTGTATTCCTACTTCTTGTGTGTTTATCTCATGAAAATATTCCATCTACTGGGCACAATTATAGCTGTGGATAGTCAGAAAGATGATACTTAAGCTGAATAATTTTGATGAATAGAACTAATACTAGGATATTTTACATTATTCAGACTGACATGGGATTCTGGATCACAAAGACAGCCTTTTATACAGACAAGCTAACTTTAGAATTCAGAACAAATTCAAAGCAGGCTGGTTGCCCCTAGAGACAGTATCTGGTTGCCCTAGAAACAAATACATGAGATCATTTTCCCAGGTGTTGTTTGTTGCTGAATTCAAGGTCAGAATAGAAGCAACTTGGTTAGACATAACTTTCTCAGTAATTGACTTTTTACAAGTAGTCCCAGTCTCAGGCTCAAGGTTCAGCCAACTGTTTACTTACTATCTGGGAATCCTCGCCAACTTAGAGCTACATGCAAGGCCATGGTTGCTCACTGGCAGGTCATTGTGACATTCTTAGCCCGAGAGAAACTACATGATTTATCTTGGGTTTTGAGAAGGGGTGGGGCCCTAAAAAATGTAACTTATAATTTGGTTGTGGGGAAGCAGAGAAAGAAGAGCAGAGGCAGTGATGTAAAGTGTAGAGACCAGCTTCCTACCTGCGTGTTCAGATTCATCTCAGGCCCAAAAGGCATGAAGCCAACTGACCATGGGTTGAAACTTCTGAAACCATGTGCCAGCATAAAAGTTTCCTATTTAAAATTGATTATCTCAGGTATTTTGTTCCAGTAATGGAAAAATGGCTAAATAGGAAATAAAGATTCAGAAAACTTACCCAAGGCTACTAGAGCCCTAAGCCAGACAAATAGATTAATCACTTTCCCATGATGCAAATATGGTTGATCTCTTACATGATAGCCTCGGGTTGCTTCCATTGTGTAGTACTTTTATAAAGCACTTTGGATCCTCAGGATCTCCGTAAGAGTCCTCCATGGCTGCCAGATGGTAATGCTGAGAGCAGCATCAGGACCATAATGAGGACTCATCAATGGATGTGCAATGGTTTCATAAACTTTAATCTTGGCACTTTGTTTTGTTTTGTTTTCTTTTGTTTTGGTTTGGTTTTGGTTTGGTTTGGTTTTTGTTTGTTTGTTTGGTTGGTTGGTTGGTTGGTTTTGGAGACAGGGTTTCTCTGTGTAGCTTTGTAGACCATAGGTGGACCTTGAACTCACAGAGATCTGCCTGCCTCTGCCTTCAGAGTGCAGGGATTAAAGGTGTGCACAACCACCACTCTGCTATTGGCACTTGTTTTTAAGACACGGCCTCAAGTATCTCAGTCTGGCATCAAACTCACTCTATAGCCAAAGCTAGCCCTTTGCTCCTGATCCTCCTGAGTCCATCTCACAGCTATTGGGATTGTAGGTGTGTGACACCATGCCTGACTGCACTTGGAACTTTAAGAAAAACTCTCTTATTTAATAATCAATTAATAAGAAAAAAACTCCAGTTTTCTTTTGCAGTTTTCTGAAGCATGCCTTTGTGATTTGGAGAGAGCAGAGGCTCTAAAGGTTTTCAAACTATAAGATAACATCATTAAAAGAGGTTTTCAGTAGCCATATCCTGGCTATTCTTAGAAATGGTAAAAGCAAGAAATGGGGTTAAAACCCTTGTGGGAGACACTTGGAAAAATCCCTCCATTTTGCCACATTTTCTATCTTAAAGGCCATAGTCTCCTTAAAACACCTGAGCTATGAGTTTATAGAAGTCACAAATACCTTGCTGGTGCAGAAATAGGAAGACACCTGGGGACCTGTTATTTTCCGAGTTAATGTTTAGACTTTCTTGCTGCATAACCCCGGACAGATTAAAGTTTAAAAAGCTTCCAGGTTGCTTGCCATCTTTCCAACAACCATTGTGACTGTTAGGTGGGGTGACAGGAGAGAAGGTGGTGAAATGGGAAAGTACCCAACATTGGCTGAGAGGCTGGAGAGATGAACATGGTGCTGAATAGCATTTGCCAATAGGTCTGTGGAGTGGATGATGACTGTCTGTACCCAGAGGCCTCAGAAGCCTTGCAGAGACATCAACTGACTGTCGAGGACTAGCTGACATTACACGCAAGCACCACAATGCTGGACTCTTAAGATAGGGCTCTCTATAAGAAATTCACATTTGGATGGGCAGTTAAGTCAGACATATACGTTAATCGCTCATTCTGTCCTGCTGAGGCTTCTCCCTCCATCCCCTCTGGAGTTTTTTCAAACACCACCTCACTGGAAAGCCCAGGCTGACATCATCTGGACTGGACCAGACTGGATCAGACCAGACCACACTGGCCTCCAACTCATGATCCTCCTTCCCTGGCCTCTTGAGTGATGGTTTATGTGTTTATGCACACATACATATATACTTAGCCATATGCACAGGCATGCATGTGTGTGCAAGCTTAAGTCCACATACATGTGATTGTATACATGTTTGCATGCCTCTCTATGTAATATGTGTGTGCAATATATACATGTGTATGTCTGTATATGTGTATATGTGTATATTACTGTTTTATTTAATCCTAAGGACATACCTATGATACAGACACTTGGTATATGTTCTAGTTTCTCTTCTGTTGCTCTGATAAACACTATTAACAAAAGCAACTTGGGGAGGAAAAAGTTTATTTCAACTTAAAGGTGACAGTCCACTATTGAGGGAAATGGGGACTGGTACTCGCACAAGAACTGCAGCAGAAGCCATGGAGGAATGCTGCTTACTGGCTTGCTCCCTGACTCGTGCTTAATTTCCTTCCTTATATAGCCCAGGACTGTTTGCCCAAGGATGGCCTCACCCACGTCAATCATCAGTCTCTCACAGACACTGACATAGGCCAGTGTCACAGAGGCAGCTCTCCACTTGCGGTTCCCTCTTCCCAGGTGAATCTAGGTTGTGTCTAGTTGACAATTAAGAGCAACCAGCACTGTATGGCAAAGGTTAGGAAACTCACGTAGAGTCTATGCATTGTCAGAGACCATGTAAGTAGCACAACGCAAAACTGATTTCATGCCAGGCCTATATAAGTCACAGTTATGGCCCGCCTGGCGCAAAGAGGAAGGAGGTCAAAGCCAGACTATGGAGAGTGCAAAACAGTTCACTCAGAGAAGGTATCAAGTTACTGTGAACCTATTCCATCTCCACAGAGGTCAGCAAAAAAAGCCAGTTGCTCACACCAAGTGAGTGTATACCCACCTGATCTTATCAATGCCTCATTGCAGGGGATGTGAACTACTCCCTTTCTGCTTCCTTGCAGCTTTTTGTGAGAGAACCCGAAAAGAGGCTGGGCGTGCAAGGAGATATCCGCCAGCATCCTTTGTTCCGAGAGATCAACTGGGAAGAACTTGAGAGGAAAGAGATTGACCCACCTTTCAGGCCAAAAGTGGTAAGGTCTCCCCCACTGAACAGACTGGCTTCAGCCCTTTTCCTTTTGTCACAGGCTATCACCCTAATCAAGTAACAGCGGTTCCTGAAACCTGCCCCAACCCCACCCTTGGCAGGGGGACGCGATTCTTTAATCCACACTATTTAGCTAGAGGAGAGGTTGGGGGGGGGGGTATTCCTGTTGCCTGCCAGATTTAAACTGTGTCATCAAAAATTTACCTATGGGAAGAATAAATTGCAGAACATTCCCAAGTTGAACATCTGTTTTCAAAAGGGACTGTCAGGAGATGGGGTTTTGCATGCAGCACTTAAAAGTTTCATGGTCACAGTCTGGGTGACTGAAACCTGTACAACGTAATTCTTTCGTGTGCAATGAATTATTCTAATAAAAAGAACTGATGACTCGGGGTTAGGACCCACTGGTTGTGCACACACTACAGCCTACATAAGCAAAGTTAAGGTAATGAACCTGGTGGCTAATTTTCTTCCCTTTTTTTTTTTTCTCTCCTCCTTAAACTGTGACTAAGAAATCACCATATGACTGCAGCAATTTCGACAAGGAATTCCTAAGTGAGAAACCCCGGCTGTCATTCGCCGACAGAGCACTCATCAACAGCATGGACCAGAACATGTTCAGAAACTTTTCCTTCATTAACCCAGGAATGGAGACTCTTGTTTGCTCCTGAACCCCACCCCTCCCCAGATGGGAAGGGATTTGCCTTCTCTCTGGGAACTGGTTTGAGTAACACTTCCGGGGGTCTCTTTTTCAAGTTGGAAAAGAAAATAAACACTCAACAGCAAAGGTGGGAAGACCACTCCTCACATGACCTGTTACCTGTAGCAGAAACCAAGTCTACTTCACTAATGACGTCATCCCATCATATCTCCTGGCATCTTTCACAGCAGCCCTCGAAGTTAGATCGTTTGTTAACTCAAGTCATTTACTTGAAAGATGGTTCCTGATACTGTGAAAGATTCGAATCGTAACTCTTCTCTTGCCCTAGACAGCAGTTTCTGGTTGGTGATGAACCAAGGTGCAAATGGAACACATTTCTCAAGAATGGAACAGCAGATTGCGTCTTACAGAAGTAGATATCACTCAGCCACTGAGAAGGAGTGCCTAACCGACATTGTTCTGTGCATGTCTGTGGAAATGTAAATAGCAGAAGGGAAGGAAGGGAGCGCCCTGAGTGGGTTTCGATGGGATTCTCTCCAATAAACATAGATTGGAACTTGAGATTCACAAATCTGTTCATTCTGGCCAGCTCTGACATTCACAAAACAGAGGAAAGTAAGTGGCAATGAGCAGAGCTCATGTCACCAACAGGGAAGGGTGTGTTGCCTGTGTGGAGCATCTTGTTCACACAGAGGTAAATGTAACCGACAAAGACCAGATAGTTTGCCATCAAACGTTGCCTTCCGTCTGTTCTCAGTTGTTCTCTTCATCAGTGTAGCCATTCATTACCATCTCCCCATCACACAAGACTTGAAGTGCATGATTCTTCTGAGATAAAGAAAACCGGTTCCTTATCATGCTGTTCCTGGTGATGTGATGACAAATTAAGTCCCTCTAGGTATCCTGCAAGACAAACAACCCATGCATGCTATTTGCAGCAGTCAGTCCTATTGTACTAGAGTACTAACTATACATTTAAACTATTTGTGCTGTTTGTATATTTTGGTGAGATATTGTGACAGTAACAAAGAGGTGGATATGTAAAATGGAATAAAAGAAGAAAAAAAAAAGATGACTCTTAATAGTTTGATTTTCTATCTGTTTCCCCTGAAGACATACTTACCATCATGGTGACCAACAAAATGTAGCCAGTGTTGGATTTGTTTTAAAATTGAGGAATTAAGAAAAAAAAGCCACTCATATGAGTGAGACATTCAGGTAAATAAAGCATCATTGCTGATCTGTTCCTCTTGCCTCTCCCCTGAAAGATTTCTTGTTGGAGGGATCCACACAGGTTTGCCTTCAGACCACACCTGGCCTTACTTCCTCCAGTGGCAACTTCTAGCCCTGGTGAAATGTTCTCCTTCCTCATTCACCTTACGGCCTCATTTTATATAGGAACAATGCTCCTGTCCAGCCTGCCTTCTGGAATTTTCTGATGACATTTTCCTGCATCCTCTCTTGCTTGCCCCTCTGTTGACTTTTTGTCCTTCCTTTCACTCTAGATCCCTCAGAAAGCCCTCTCCGTCCCCGCCTTTACTAGCGCTGGTATTTTTCCACTTCTGGCATGTAAGCAAGCACCACTCCATGCAGACAGTCACAAGTCTACTTCTCCAGCTGTAGCCCCTCTGCTAGCAGACTATATTAACCCAACGTGCCCAGAATGTGTTCCTTCCGTTGTTAGGAAATAGTTCTGCCTTGTATTTCCTATTTCTACTAAAGACCCTACCATAGCCTCCATTACCTGGACCCAGAACCAGAATTATCATTAGCAATCCCTTTTCTCCTTCCAACTTCCTTGATTTTGATTTTTATGCCAAATCCTATGATTATGGTCCTTTGTACAGTATGATGGTTAGCGTTAATTGTCAACTAGATGGGTTTATTATTACCATGGGAACAAACCTCCATGTGCCTCTGAGAGATTCTATAGTTCAGGTTAGCCTGTGAGACATTTTCTTGATTTGGTTGAGGTGGGAAGCCACAGCATTTACTAGGTTGGGATCTTGGACTCTATGAAAAGGTGAAAGATCAGAAACAAACATCTGATTCCTTTTTCCAAAAGAAAACTGACATTGTGTGGCAAACACACGAGTTGAAAAATCCATGTAATGTCCCCTAAGTAAAACCCCCATGGACAAAGTTCCTGGACTTCCTCTTTACCTTGAGTCCAGTTGCAACATCTGAGTTTCTCAGCATGGTGCAGACACAAAAATAAGTTCTCACCTCTGTGTCTCCCTGATACTATTTTATTTGCCCCTAATGCCCCATTCCCACTTTTCCAAATCCCCTTTATCTCTCAGATCACATGACTGGCCCATCATGTCGCATCCTCTACCTCAGCTCGCCTATCACCAGCTACTTCCTTTGGTACCTTCATCATTTTTCTGGTGAGCTATAAACCCCCAGTGTGAAAGATCTCTGTTCAATTTATCTCTGTATGTTCCATAGCCACTTTTCTCATTAGTGATTAGTGAAGGAATAAATAAATACATATGTTGTAGCTCTACTGTATATGTGTGTACAATGTTTCCCCCTATCCATTCATCCACTGATGAGCATCTAGGCTGACTCTATACTTGACTACTATGAATAGTGCCACAATAAAGATGGGCCTTCAAATATCTCCACTGTATATTAACATTGTCTCATTTGGCTATATTATAGCCTCTCACTTCCTACAGGACAAAAGTCCCAAATCCAAAGCAAGCAGTGACTTTAATGTTCAGGACATGTCATCCTTCTCTGGTTTCATTTTCCACCCTTTGTCCACTCACTTCCTAATTTTCAGAAACTGGAATTCTTGTCCTTTCAGCATCTTCTTTTGTTTTGTTTGTAGGGTTGAGGTTTGAACCCAAGACCTTGCACATGCTAAGGGTCTTAGTGAGGGTTAGTACTGCTGTAATGAAACACCATAACCAAAGAAACTTGGGGAAGAAAGGGTTCATTTGGCTTACATTTCCACATCACAGTTCATCATCAAAGAAAGTCAGGACAGGAACTCAGACAGAGCAGGATTCTGGAGGCAGGAGCTGATGCAGAGGCCATGGAGGGAAGATGCTGACTGAGTAGCTCAGCCTGCTTTCTTACCGAATTTTAGACCATCAGCCCAGAGATGACCCCACCCACAATGTGCTGGGTCCTCCCAAATCAATTACTAACTAAGAAAATGCCCTAAACAATGTGCCATCTGACCCGAGCTTCCACCAAGGGCCATGTCTGGGTTGGTGGTCCCACTGCAGCTGGGGGCTGTGATGATGTCCCTAATCAGTGTCAGCACAGGGGGTCATTAGAACCATGCTGTGCTGAGCCAACCCCACCCTTCACTGGCCCTGGAATAACTGGCCCTGCCCCTTGCTGGATACTTCAGCAAGACAGCTGGGCCTACCCCTCAGCGGAGAGCTGGCCTCTGCATTAGGGAATGATGGCCCCATCCCTCACCTCAGGCATGCACCTCACCTGGGCAACATAGTAGGACTGACCCTGTTGTCGGAGACACAGGTGAGCTGACCCTGAGGTCATGAGAGCAGCAGAGCTAACCCTGCTGCACCCTCCTCTTGTATGGCCCCAACAGCAATCGGGAGAGAGGGCTCTGCACCTTGCCTGGGAAAGACAGTGGAGCTGGCCCTGGTGTGGGTCAGCAGGAATAACTGGCTCTGCTCCTTGCTGCAGGCTGCACTGGATGAGCTAACCAAGGCAGTGATGGAGAGCTTGCCCAGGTGGTGATGAAGGAAAGCTGGCAGGCTGACCAATCCAGCTACCACCCAGGCCCAGAACTAGGGTTATGAGTTAGCCCACCCATCCACCTCATTTATGACCTTTTGGAGCATGTAAAAGGGACAGATCTGCAGATCCAAAGCTGCAGGATCTCCACAGCACAGGATAACAGCGGAATATCCAAGAGAAGCCCCATCAGAGCCCATTATCGGTGGTGTAGCAGAAGCAGAAGCCTTGACCCAGACCAATGAGTCCAATGACTTGTGGCAGTGAACACTTACAAGAAAGATGGACTGTGTGACTCAACAGGCCATACTACAGCTTTCACTACAAAATTCTTCCCTTTTTTTTTTTTGTTTGTTTTATTTTTGTTTTGCTTTGCTTTGCTTGTTATGTTTGGTCTTTGGTTTTTCTTTTAAATTTTGTTTTGGGAGGAAGTTTGCAAGGACAAAGGGAGGATTCAAGTAGACAGGGAGATAAGTGGGATCAGAACACAAATGTAAAATTCATAAAGAATCAATAAAAGTTAAAAGAAATAGAGAGAGAGAGAAAGGGAGAGGGAGGAAGGGAGGGATTAAGAGGGGAGAAAATGCCCTACAGGCTTGCCTTCAGCCTAATTTTCCTCAACTGATTATCCTTTCTTTCCAATGACTCTAGCTTGAGTCAAGTTGACATAAAAGCCAGCATACTGAGCAAACACTTCCCCACCAGGCTGCATTCCCCAGCCCCACTTGATTATTAAACATGAAGCTCAGTATGCCTTGAATGGTTTTGTTACTTTAAACCCAGCCCATTCTTAGTCACGGTTCTATTGCTATAAAGAAACACCATAACCACGGCTACTCTTATAAAGAAAAATATCTAATTGGGTGGCTTATAGTTTTAGAGGTTTAGTCCATTATCACCATGGTGGGACATGGTGGCATGCAGGCAGACATGGTGCTGAAGAAGTAGCGGAGAGCTCTACGTCTAGATCCATAGTCAGCAAGAAGAAAGAGTCACTGGGACTGGCTTGGGTTTTGAAAACCTCAAAGCCTACCCCCAGTGACACATTGCCTCCAACAAGGCCACACCTCCTAATCCTTTCAATCAGATAGTACCACTCCCCGGTGACCAAACATTAAAATATATGAGCCTATGAGGGCCATTCTTATTCAAACCACCAAAAAACTCTCAATCCAAAATTGTCTTGTGGGGAAATGCACTTCCTGAACCAAATTAGATGTCCTTCCACGTAGCTCTTCCCATGACACGTCTTTCCCTGAACTACATATCTGGTTCTACACTGTGAACTCTTTGAGGACAAAAACCTTGGTCCCTGCATGCCTAACACATCTTAGGCAGTCATAAATGATGGTGAGCATATATATTAAACACTAAGTAGAAGTACCATGAGATGTCATTTCTCTTCTTTTTCTCCAAAAGACCAATTACCAATCAATAGTCAATGGTGGCATAAAAATAAGAGGACCAATTTGATTAGAATGCTCATATGATTAGAAGCTTCCTTTTAAACTTAAAATCCTCTCATCCCAGACAGAATGGGAGGAAAAGGAAGAAGAACAAGAGAAGGAAGGAAGAAGGGAAAGGAAGAGGAAGAAGAAAAATGATTAAACGATATAGGGAAAAGCAACTTTATACATTGTTAATAGGGATGAAAATTAGTCCAGCGACTGTGGAAAAATATCATAGGGATCCCTTAAAAACTAAAATTAGAATGACCCCGGTATACTATTCCTAGACATATATCCCACGAGGTTAATATCCATAGAGACACTTGATCATGTGTGTTCATTGTGGTGCCCTTCACAGCAGAACTGAATCATGTCATTTGTGGAGAAATATATGGAGCTTGAGGCCATCCTGTTATGCAGAATAGGTACGAGGTAGATAAACAAGTATATCATACACTTAAAAATCTTATACGAAGATTAAAAAAAAAAACAACAACTTGAAAGTAGGAACAGGATTTAACTAGGGACAAGAAAGGAAACCAGAGTCAGGGAGGAAAAAGGGTAGCTGGGAAAAAAATACAATGAGAACACACTACCTATGTGTCGAACTGCAGCAGTGAGCCTGTTGCTATGTATAACTAGTGTGCATTAACAATTATAGTAAAAAATAAAATTCCCTTTCAATCATTTGCTTTGATCTTTTTGCCTGTCGATCTTTTTCCAGGAACTTAC